AAACAACAAACAAAAAGATAATGTAATATTGTTTTAGGCAATTATAGGTATGAGTTTACTTATTTATCTTCATATAGTATTCAATCAAAAACCAGTGACATGTCTTTCTCATTTACATGATAATTGGCCAAGACAAGGTGTAGTTCGTGTTGATTTAGACTTATCGATGGGATTTGTTCAGTTGGAATATTCGACATTACATTGTTCAAATAAATAATAAAAATATATTTATATTAATCTGAAAAAATAAACAAAAACAATTTCTTTCTTTTTGTGTCTGTATATTTATAAAAGATATGTGCCAAAATATAAAGATTTAACTATTTATTTGATATATCTTCGATTTCATCATCCCAATCTTCATATATTGCTTGTTTTTTATTATAATCATCAATTAATTTCGTATTAATAAATTTTTATCTTGTTTTTTCATAAAATATATTATTGTTTCAATTATATCTTGTTCATTTTCAAGAAAAAGATTTTTTTTTAAGATTTTTTTTCAACTAAATAATTAAATTTTTCTTTTAATTCATTAATTAAATCATTTGTTTTATTATCAATATTTATATTTATCCAATTATCGACGAGAATTATATTATTATTATTTGTTTTTGTTGGTTTATCGGGTGATTTTTCTCTTGTTGATTGAGTTTTACCAAAGAATAATAAAGCATACGGAGAAATAAAACTTATATCATGAATAAATATACTTGATGTACGAATTTTTTCATGGTAAACAATTAATGTTGATTGAACAGATGAACAGTGGCGGCGCGAAGAGGTAAAAGCAGGAGGGGGGTATTTTCGAAAATGGGAGAAAGGTATGATCTAGCTTATTAGTACCTGAAAACAGTCGAAATGGGATTGGCATAATGTAATTTTTCTCTTTAACGCAAAATATGCAAAAAATTTATCACTTTCACAGCGAATTTTACATAAAATTCAAACTTTGACGCATGTTCAGAAATTTATAGATAAACTTAAAAATATCTCCTGAGTAACAAGTGTCAATGTCGGTCTCTAAAAACGTTTGGGTGGAGTGCCAGTTCTTTCTAGCAGAAACGCTTAGCAATGTTTCTCGCCGCCAAAGGCAGCCACGCTTACGACAACTCCTAAAAAATACGATCATTATTGGATTATAATAGAAGCTCTAGAGCTTATGGCAAATTTTTGAAAACAGATAAGCACATTTTGTCGCCAGAGGCGATAGAGATTTTTACTATTATGCGAAATTTTAGCCATTGTATAAGTCCCAGCATTAGTTTTGCATTTGCGATAATATTTTGACAATATTTTCAAG